TTTTCCCCAGAGCTTTAAGAATGTGGCGACGTTCTGACGACTTCCATCATCCAATCATGTGCAGGCAAGAAAAAACTTTTTTATTTTCCTTGCACCTTATTAGGTACTCTCTACAAAATGAAGCTTCACCACATTCACTAAGCTCTGGGAAAAATTAGTGCATCATGGAAAAGAATGTATCAGGAAACTTTACCAATTTGAAAAGCCTACTGAATATGACTACATCAGGCCTTCGACAGTGTCGAGTTGCCGTACCTTTGAGCTGTTTTGGACAAATTTGGGATTTGGACACATTAGATTATATAAAACTCCAAAAAAGATTTTTATTCTAAAGTGAAATTTAAGGGACTTTATGACTAGCAAAGTTTCAAATGTTTCCTAAGGGCCCTATCATACTGGTTTTCTGATCAGGTCCGTCTGTCAGTCCGTAAGGCGGAAAATGATTGGAAGTTCCATGCAGCTCTATGGGCAGTTTGATGTAAATGGACTTCTCTCTGTGAGTCTTCTACCTATGAGTCAATCCAGGTCCAGACACACACATATGTAAAAAGGACTGTATACTTTTTCACAAACTGACCAGGCATTGATATAAAAAAAAAAATAAAAAACTGCTCACGGCTCCCCTCTTGAACGGATGTGAAAGAGTCCTAATAGCATAGGCAGTTTGCTGGCCTGGAATTGCACTTTAAATGTAAATATATTGGGTAAAAAGATTTTAAATTGCTCACATAATCAGATCACATCTTCACACCATTTAAAACGGTCTACTGGGCACTGCCATTACTTAGCATCTGTCATGAAGCAATGTATAAATCAATATTAAAACGGAGAGAAGCATTTTCCCAAGTATTATCAAAATAGTTTTAATCAGTTTATCTGTGTGTACACACACACACACACACTATGACCACTGACAGGTAAAGTGAATGACTGATCATCCCAGTACAGTGGTATCTCAAAGTGGGTGGGATATACTAGGCAGCAATGTTGTTCCTTCCATGTGATGTTTTGAAAGTGGAGAAAAAAATGAGCAAGCTTATAGATTGAAGATACTTTGATTAACCCCAAATTGTAATGGCTAGATGACGGAGTCATGGCATCTCCAAAACTGCAGCTCTTGTGGGTTGTCCGTGTCTGCAGTGGTCAGGACCTACCAAAATGGGTCCAAGGCAGGAAAACGGCAACAGGTTCTGGGAGGCCAATGCTCACTGATGCACACGGGGAGCAAGGGATGGCCCTTGTAGTCTGATCCAATAGAAGAGCTACTGTAGCTCAGATTGCTGAGGAAGTTAACGCCAATTCCGAAAGAAAGGTGTCAGAAGACACAGTGCATTGTAGTTTGTTGCATATGGGACTGCATAGTCAGAGACCGGACAGGGTGCACATGATGATCATATCCATAGCCAAAAAGGCCTACAATGGGCACATGAGCATCAGAACAGTACCAAAGGAGCAATGGAATGAATTTAAGAATGGTTTGAGGATATTACTGGATATATTCCATTGCTTTTTACTCTCTTGTACTGATGTAACAATCTACAGTGTTTGAAAGGCTTTGAACCTGTCGCAGACCACTATTTTGTTCAACAAAAATTGATTTTATAAAAAAGGAATGGTTTGAGGAAAGCAATAATGAGTTTGAGGTGTTGACTTGACCTCCAAATTCTCCAGATCTCAGTCCAATGGAGCATCTGGGTTGTGTACTGGAAATAAAAGTCTGATTCATGGAGGCCCCACTTCACAACTTACAGGACTTAAATGGATCTGTGGAGGACATGGTGCCAGATACCACAGGAGGTGGTATTAGAGGTCTAGTGGAGTTCATGCTTGTTATGGTGGGTGGTCATAATGGCTGATCTGTGATATAATTACACACACACATACATACATATATATATATATATATATATACATACATACATACATACATATACACACATACATACATATACACACACACCGGCCACTTTATTAGGTACCCCTTATTAGTGCCTAGAAAATATTGCCCACACCATTACACCACCACCACCAGCCTGAACCATTGGTATAAGGCAAAATGGATCCATGCTTTCATGTTGTTTATGCCAAATTCTGACCCTTCCATCTCAATGTCGTAGCTGAACCAGTCTGTCCATTCTCCTTTGACATCAACAAAGCATTTTAGCCCACACAACTGCCGTTAACTGGATATTTTCTCTTTTTCGGACCATTCTCTGTAAACCCTAGAGATGGTTATGCGTGAAATTCCCAGCAGATCAGCAGTTTTTTAAATACTCAGACCAGCCCATCTGGAACCAACAACCATGCCACATTCAAAGTCACTTAAATCCCCTTTCTGATGTTCGGTTTGAACTTCAGCAAGTTGTCTTCACCACGTGTACATGCCTAAATGCATTGAGTTGCTGCCATGTGATTGGCTGATTAGCAATTTGTATTACCAAGCAATTGAACAGGTGTACCTAATAAAGTGGCCTGGGTGTGTGTGTGATATATATATATATATATATATATATATATATATATATATACACACACACACACACACACACACATATATACATACATACATACATATATATATATATATATATATATATACACACACATATATACACACACACACACATATATACACACACACACACACATATACATACACACACACCTTTGATGAAACCAATATATTCGCAAATAAGTCAGGCATGTTATACAAATACGGTATAAATTATGCTTTCTGATTAAAATACTGCTCACAATGGATAGTTAAAATACTAGAGCTGCCTAAACTGGCTTTCTTGTAGCCGTAGTGCATTATTATAACAAAGTTGCTAAATACTGCATGAGTCTGCAGCAGTGTAGCAATCTAGGGCCTATCACTACTATAAAAAGGCACCACGATTGTTTAGAGAAAAGCACTTAAATCCATAAACAAGCATGAATGATATAAGCTATTTCCAGTTTTGCTTTACAGCAAACATGCAATGTAAAACTGAAATAAATAGCAGTACACAGTAGTTTCAAGGGAGGAACTATCTACGCATCATGCATACAATGAAGAATGTTGCAAAACTAGAGCAAGTGTACTTAGTTTCTGTCTCCCAGGCTTTCCATTCTATATACTATGGTTGTTGATGAATCCTCATTTGATTCTGGTGACACTTTTTTCCATACTGTATCTTTTAGTGCAAGTTCCTGGTGCAGATGTTCATAGTCCAGAGGTCCAAATGAAAGTTGGTTCTTCAAGTAACATACATAATTGATTAGTTTATAAAATGATCAATACTAAAATAAAAAAAAATGTAAAAGAATGGTGTTGGTGGCAAACACATTTGTTAGAGCCAACAAGCACAAGCAAGGTTAATGCAAAGCAAAAGGCTAGTGTTTTAACTTTTCAAAAAAAAGAAAACCGCACAAGAAACTGGTGCCAAGTCCACAAACATCAAAAATTCTGTTACCTTGAATATTTTAGCCAAAGCCAACTCACATATTCCTTTACAACACATACATATATTACTCGATCATTAGTTTACAGAAGCAGAAACAATGTGGCTTCAGCAGTGTTTGTAAAATGAGAACACCAATAGTCTACAGTGTTTGTAGCCAGTGGATCATTACAGAATTTTCACATATAGAATTTGTTTTTTACATGAAATATGGCCACTGAAAAGCTAAAATTAAAGAATTTCTAAAAACTTTCACATGAAATTCCAGTGGTTCTGGACCCACTGGATTAGTTCTAATAATCATAAGGATTAAGACCCATCCCTAATCTTTAGGATTAATGTAAAATTGCAGGGTAATAAATGTGGGAGCTACCAATGGTGACTTACTTTTAAAGGTGCAAAACTCCAGGGCTTTAATCCTTGCTTCACCACCTAGTTAATTTCTAAGTGCATGCAGGCAGTAAATTGTCAAAGATCACACTCTCACCTCTAGTCTTCTCTCATTAACCTGTTCAATGCTCATGTCTGATATCCTAAGAGGTACATACATTTTATCAAGTATGTTGTCAACTTTCATTAGTCTGATGTATTTATGCATGGAAAGAGTATCATTATACACCTTTAACGTGAACTTTCCACAGCTAAAACTTATTGGTGCATCTTTAAAAAAAAAGTACAATATTTTATGGATGACCCCCTCTGCTTTCAACTTGAGGTTTTAAATAAATAGCATACAGGACAGCTATCCTACGAACTAACGAAAGACACTAATGTGTCTTTGCATTTGTTGTCCACCAATAACATTTTTTTAATTAACATTTTATAATAAGTTGCAGAATAGTTCATATTTTTCACCGCTTTCATTTCTCTTGAATTTCTACTGTACTAGCTCACAATGCATGTCCCAGTGTAAAATAAACTTACATTAAGAAACAACTGTCAGTTTTTTACCACCATCAACATGGTGCACATTTCAGATAATATTCTATGGCCAAAACGGAACCTTGTATTATCAACCTCTCCATATATGCACGAGATAACTTTTTTAATTTAAACAATCTCAACACTTCATTCCACAATATTATTCTTGCCACATACTGTTTTAGGTCTATCACAACCAGCTGGATGTCCACACTTATTTAAACTCTTGCATATTTAGCATTCAGGTACATTATCCACAGTTCAATATCAATTTATTTTCATAGTATCTGTTAAGATGGTCATTACATACAGTACTGTGATGTCCTAATATGATGTCTAATGAATAAGCAGTGGAGTCATACTAAAATAGATTTGATTTTATATTAATCTGCAGCACAAATTACATTTGAATTTAGGTCATGCTTTTTCCTTATTTTAGAGAAAACGGCAAACTGTCCAGAAGCACAGTTCTATGAAAAGCGAAGCAAGGGCTTGTTTTGTACAAGGAAGAATATAGCCGATGTGCCCCCTTGCTAGCCTTCTTCATGTATAAACTTAACATTTCAACGATGGGTCAATTTCCGTTTTTTTTTTCCTTAATCAAGCATACCTGCCAGCATTTTGGTTTCTTATATTTCATAATTTTCCAACACTGAGGGCCACATTGCAACAAGTATTAAAGCAGTCAATCAGCATACCAAAGAAGGTATTAAAGTGTGTTAAACTTACCCTTTGGTCACCTCCTTCTCTACGTGGGTCGAGTTTCTTTGCAAAGTGCCTTAAATTGTCATAATTATGAAAATTGCAAAGTCCTACCAAGTCCTGTTAAAACAAAAGGAAACCTCTGTTTTCTGCATCTTTTTAAAAAGCAAGCAAGGCAAACTACGGCTACTTATTTGAAATAGCGTTTTTAGGAGTCAATCATCAGATGGACATCATCACTAAAGAATAACAGCATATCATAGTTTACTAGTGGTTGTATGCATGCGACTCTTATTCTTCAGAGCAAAATAAAGGATATCATAAGCCTAAACATCTACACCCTTTCTTTACAAACCTGACAAAACTGTATCCCACGGACACTATTTCCCAACTTATCCAAGGGAGGAGACCAACACATAATGCCCATAACATTGGGGACCACAAGAAGGATCCCTCCAGCAACTCCAGATTTTGCAGGGAGGCCAACCTATGACAGACCAAAGAAAGCATTTGAGTACACTGATAAGACACCTTTGACATATATACATTTCTGATAAGATATTAATATTGAAAGTTCTATATAACGCTTTAGGTCTATCACTGACAATAGAGACAATCCGGTGGAAACTGCTACCAAATAGTTCTAAAGTCAGAACATTTTTTCACCTTCATGCATTCACAGCATTAAGAAAAAAAAAACAAAGAACAAAAGAAAAGAAAAAAAAAAGTCCCACTAGTTCTGGTCTCCACCCCCAAACATTTACCTCTCTCCACTCATGGTACAGTGCAGCCTTGTCTGCAGCAGCGCTGCTTTCTCTTCCTATTCTCACAGGAGACTGAGAGAAGCAGAAAAAAAATAGGCTCCTGCTTCGGTTAGTAAAATCCAGTGAGGAAGGAGTGGGCAACATGGCCACGCTGCGCTGTGTCTATGAATGCACGCAGCTTGGATGGGAGAGCGCCTACACAGTTGCCCCCTCAGCACTCTGTGCAATATCATTGCACAGAACAAGAAGGTATGGCCTTTATGTTTTAAAGCAAATAAAAAAATAATCTTTAATATCAATTTAATAGACCAATGCAAATAGGGAGGGGAGCACTGAAAAAGACAGTTTGGTCAGGAAAGAGTGCTGGCAAACCAAGTCTCAAACTCTCATAAACCTAAACAGATAGTTTAAAGAATTACTTTATTGGGGAACTGGCCGCACGCTCCAATTCCCTGCTAAAAAGGGATTTTCATCATGTATATCTTCTTCATCTGCATAAATAGTGCAAAACGAGTTGTAACAGGCTCTTACATGAAATGCAAACTGCCCAGAGAAGTCATACATCCCACAGGAGTGCATTAGGCTTAGGGTGTTTCTCACTGCTTCTGGGCTTAGCACCCTTTCTCCTGTTATTGGACAGAAGCCACCATTAGCCAAGGTTGCGGCCATTACACTGGCAGATTCACAAGTCACTTCAATGGAACACAACTAAATAGGGGGGAAGAAGACATAAAATATTAGTATAATATAGAAAAAAAAATGTTTTAACAGAATTATGAATTTGCTTAAAAAAAAATGTAACTACAGAGAAGGTGAAATGCCTATTTTGCATATCTTAAACACTTCCGAGATACTGAAACTAACAGCAAATATAATATCTCAAATGTCATTGTGAAGTTGGCCCAAAAAAAAAAAAAAACAAAAAAAAACCCCCAAAAAAACCCCAAAAAAAATCTTGCTTTCAGAAATTGGAAAGTACAATAATGCCATCTTAAAAACAAATATTAAAAACGAATAGTATTTACAAGGCAAGGCTGCCACAGCAAAGCTGGATAAATAAGGCTCTTTACTTTTTGAGCTATAAATCAATGGTTCTGGTAAAAAAGTTTCCATCCACCATCCTTCATCAGTGCTGTCATACTGATCCTGGTGTCACAGTATGGTGAGCTTTCTGAACAGGAACAAGCTTGCGCATATTGGGTGTTACAAAATCTGATAGTCACATGCTCGTTCAGGGTCAGTTTCTCCAAAAAACCAAAGCCTGCATCCGAAAAAAAAACATACCTTCAAAAAAATTAGGAATAATAACTATAATCCAATACTTAAAAAGGTACCCTTTAAGTGAGGAATATTGCAGTTTAGAGATGACTATACATAGCTTCCTAGGTGTTGTATTTGCATAAGCTTTTTCTCTCTATTTTTCTTTGTCATCTACTTTTCTATATTGGCCTTTCTCCAGCATATGACTTTCTCCATCATATGTAAGTTAATGAGCACAGAAAACCCAGCCTCAGTTTCTGCGCATACATTTTGTATTCCTAATACAGAGTTATGCAGTACTGTGTTCGCCTTATCAAAATATTACAGGTTTTCCTAATAGAAAAAAAAAATGTACATTTACCTATTTACCCTTTTTGCTGAACCCCTTTGGTGTCCCAATCACTGGTGAAGCATTCCATACAAGAGTACAGCCAAAAGGTTCCTCGGGATCTTGGCCAGCAATGTCTTCACCATATTAGGTGTTGAGAATTCCCAACACCCTTGTGTGGAATACAACACTGAGGATAGGCACTCTGGAAGCCTTTTACAAGGTTTTGTGAAATAACCACAACCTTGTTCATAAACTAAGAGCTGCATTTCATCTGATATTAATGCCTGAAATGAGACCAATGGTAATGCGGTATTACATTGATACATCAGGCCAATGGTGCATTGTCCCTCTAGCCACAGTTACTGAACACATACTATCCCACCTGAATAGCATTGTGTTATAAAACCTCTCAAATCCAAAGAGACACAGTCAGTGGACATAGTACCTCTTCCTCTTTCCCCAAAACTAATGTCAGTTTTTACAGACTTGAATCATGCTTGTGTTTATGGAGGACAAAGAAGAGAAAATTGTCATTCACACTGAAGTGATGGCTAACCCACATGTCCTTACACTACTTATGTTAGGCAAGAACACCAATACACCAGACTTTCATTTTCAGTTAAAGCTTTTGTAGTCTTACAATGTGGATAGGAAGTGTATTAGAGATTTCTGGCCTGACACTCTTAGTAAGACAAAGTGTGGGAAAGCTATGTGTGAAAGGCAGCAACCACGGCTCCTTGTTCTCAGAAACTAGCAGTGTAAGGAGGCTCCACACATATCATACATGGCGATGAGGGAGACTTCAATGCAATGATGTATTTACTCATTCACCAAACACCAACTTCTCCCTCAACATGATATGTGTGGGGCAGGTGAATAACAAGAATCATTATTGCAGATACTGGGTGGGCGGCAAATTCTGTAAGGTAGAGAATGGGTTAAGCATACAGACTGACATGGTCGAGTGCAGCAGGAACTAAGTGCACAGGTGCTACACACACTAGACAGTGCCAAGGGAGGGTATATGAGCATATATAGAATTACCTAACAAGATCTATTAAGACCAAAATTTTAGGATCTGCAAGAGTGCATCTGTATCCACCATGTGGTGACTGCAGAATGGATGGATATCACGGACATTTTTTTTTTTACATTGAACACAATATAAAAACGTAATGGCATTTTTGCAAGTGCTAAACGCACTAATAATGAAGAGAGCAATGTCCAAAACTGGAGCATGCAGGGTCCATGGTGCATCTGGCTCTTACAGTAGTGCCTGGCAGAAGGGCACTGGAGCCTTTATTACATTGTACACGAAACCTTTAAGAGAAAAAAAAACATAACTAAAGATTTTTAAAGCATTTTCTGATGTCCACTTGACTATGATGTCAATTCGCTTACCTGGAAATAAAAGTCTAATGTTCCAACCATATCGGTGTGCTCTGGAAAACACTGGTTTTAAAAAAAAAAAAAGAAGAAAAACATATGCAATGTTATAGGACAGTCAATATGAAACAGCTTTAATGTAAAAATACATAAAACGTGTTACACAAGTTCAAGCCCAATGACATGAAGCAAAACAAGTAATGATTAACTATCAACTTGTTAAAGTGGAACATTGACTATTTTTAAATGAGAAGTATGGTCATTTGACAAAAGTTGGCTATACTTTTGTAGGCCATAGGAGTGCACTTAATTATGCACTCCTGTGAGTTGCTTTCAGTCAACAGCAGGCTAAAGCCCACTGTCAGCTGATGTCACAGAGCAGGTCTGGGCTCTGAAAAGATCCCGACCATATGGTTGGGATCCACCCAGATGCTTGGACCAGCAGCTGGATCAGCCTCTCAGCGATCCTATGTGTTGCAAATAGCCTGCACAATAATATGCAGGCTATATGCCACTACACTCTTCAAAACCGTCCTGGCTGGGCCCGGTGCTTACCATATTCGCAGTGAGGTAATAACTATATATGAGTCAATACTCATATTCCAACTAAAGACTATCCATAGGAATGAACATGAACTGTAGGTGTTCAGGCACAGAAAGTATAGTCGGGCCTATTTTGAACACAATAAGCAGCACTGGGCAATGCTGCACAGTGAAGATTTTCAGGAGCAGGACTGCAGGAAGTATTCATCCATTGGGAATCCACTATTAGGGAAATTCATCACTAAAATACTGTTGTGATAATCAATGGAGACAACATTGGCAACGGTGTAGTCATAAGACCCATTGAAAAGTGGTTTCTGAGGCAAATCAGGTACATATTTTGTAAACTCTTTAAAAAGAGACAAGCTAGCAGAAATCATGTCACTAAACCAAAAATGCACGAAAAATCACAGGAAAAAAATTCAAGTATTTTACTTCCAGTATTTTCCTTTTCCATAAATAAGATTTGTTCACTTGCATAATGCCTTTAAACTTGTTGTAAAATTGTAACTGCTTCTCAAGCATCAATTCCCTAGCATAGCTCCTTTCCACCTTGCACATCATAGTAATTAGCCACGCCCAGAACAGGAGAAGACTGTCTGTGCTGACCCAGCATCTCCACCATTTCACTTACCTCCCCGCATAACCTTTTATGTAGATGATGGGGGAGGAGTGAAGTGAAATACTATACAGTGTCACTTGAGTGACAGCTCTGAGTGTGCTGGAGCTACTGACATCACATTCAAGTTAGCAGCACAGAGTAGCAATCTCAGAGATTTTGGGTGTCTTCACAAGTGAAGCTTTAAAGTGTAAACATCATGGATAAAATACATTAAATGCATAAATAATCTAATGGAAAGACTGTTGTTGAAATGAATAGTCTGGCAACAGGAGCTCTTTAGAATTACTCAAGCGTAACCAGTGTAATCAGAAGGCTACCCTGAAGTAGAAAACATATTTTATAATCGGTATACAGTCATGGCCGAAATTGTTGGCACCCTTGATATTTTTCCTGAAAATCAAGTATTTCACACAAAAAAGGTATTGCATTAACACATGTTTTGCTATACACATGTTTATTCCCTTTGTATGTATTGGAACAAATATAAAACAGAGGCAGAAAAGCAAATATGACATAATGTCACACAAAACCCCAAAAATGGGCTGGACAAAAGTATTGGCACCCTTAACTTAATATTTGGTTGCACACCCTTTGGAAAACATAACTGAAATCAGTCGCTTCCTATAACCATCAATAAGCTTCTGACACCTCTCACCCGGAATTTTGGACCACTCTTCCTTTGCAAACAGCTCCAGGTCTCTCTTATTGGAAGGACACCTTTTCCCAACAGCAATTTTAAGATCTCTCCACAGGTGTTCAATGGGATTTAGATCTGGGCTCATTGCTGGCCACTTCAGAACTCTCCAGCGCTTCTTTGCCATCCATTTCTGAGTGCTTTTTGACGTATGTTTGGGGTCATTGTCCTGCTGGAAGACCCAGGATCTTGGACGCAAACCCAGCTTTCTGACACTGGGCCCTACAGTGCGACCCAAAATCCTTTGGTAATCCTCAGATTTCATGATGCCTTGCACACAGTCAAGGCACCCAGTGCCAGAGGCAGCAAAACAACCCCAAAACATCATTGAACCTCCACCATATTTTACCGTAGGTACTGTGTTTTGTTCTTTGTAGGCCTCATTCCGTTTTCGGTAAACAGTAGAATGATGTGCTTTACCGAAAAGCTCTATCTTGGTCTCATCTGTCCACAAGACGTTTTCCCAGAAGGCTTTTGGCTTACTCAAGTACATTTTGGCAAACTGTAGTCTTGCTTTTTTATGTCTCTGTGTCAGCAGTGGGGTCCTCCTGGGTCTCCTGCCATAGCGTTTCATTTCATTTAAATGTCGACGGATAGTTCGCGCTGACACTGATGCTCCCTGAGCCTGCAGGACAGCTTGAATGTCTTTGGAACATGTTTGGGGCTGCTTATCCACCATCCGGACTATTCTGCGTTGCAATCTTTCATCAATTTTCCTCATCCGTCCACGACCAGGGAGATTAGCTACAGTGCCATGGGTTGCAAACTTCTTGATAATGTTGCGCACTGTGGACAAAGGCAAATCTAGTTCTCTGGAGATGGACTTGTAACCTTGAGATTGTTGATATTTTGCCACAATTTTGGTTCTCAGGTCCTCAGACAGTTCTCGTCTCCTCTTTCTGTTGTCCATGCTTAGTGTGGCACAGACAGACACACAATGCAAAGGTTAAGTGAACGTCTCTCCTTTTTATCTGCTTTCAGGTGTGATTTCTATATTGCCCACACCTGTTACTTGCCCCAGGTGAGTTTACAGGAGCATCACATGCTTGTAACATTCTTATTTATCCGCAGTTGTGAAAGGGTGCCAATACTTTTGTCCAGCCCATTTTGGAGGTTTGTGTGACATTATGTCGAATTTGCTTTCTTTCCTCCCTTTTTTTGTTTTGTCCCAATACACACAAAGGGAATAAACATGTGTATAGCAAAACATGTGTTAATGCAATACGTTTCGTGAGAAATACATGATTTCCTGGAGAAATATCAAGGGTGCCAACAATTTCGGCCATGACTGTATATGGAAAATTAATTTTATGTACCTAGTCACAAATTAATTTCTGAATTTGGCCACTCATGTGAATGTCATATTGGATTCATTCAGATTTAATACAAATACATCACAGTAACACTGAAACACCTAAACACACCTTCTGACCATGTTTATGGAAATGACCAGCAATGAAAACCTGCATTGCTTACATTCAAACTTCAATATTCACAAGCTCATATATCATGCAGGTGCAGATGCTAATATTATACATATGTGAGCAGCATATCAAACCATCAGATACAGCACAACTAACTAATCCATAACTAACTAATATACAACAATCCATGTCAACTGTTCCCCCACAACATCACATATACAGTCAGGTCCATAAATATTGGGACATCGACACAATTCTAACATTTTTGGCTCTATACACCACCACAATGGATTTGAAATGAAATGAACAAGATGTGCTTTAACTTGAGGGTATTTACATCCAAAACAGGTGAACGGTGCAGGAATTACAACAGTTTGCATATGTGCCTCCCACTTGTTAAGGGACCAAAAGTAATGGGACAGAATAATAATCATAAATCAAACTTTTACTTTTTAATACTTGGTTGCAAATCCTTTGCAGTCAATTACAGCCTAAAGTCTGGAACGCATAGACATCACCAGATGCTGGGTTTCATCCCTGATGATGCTCTGCCAGGCCTCTACTGCAACTGTCTTCAGTTCCTGCTTGTTCTTGGGGCATTTTCCCTTCAGTTTTGTCTTCAGCAAGTGAAATGCATGCTAAAATCGGATTCAGGTCAGGTAACATTCCACTTCTTTCCCTTAAAAAACTCTTTGGTTGCTTTTGCAGTATGCTTTGGGTCATTGTCCATCTGAACGGTGAAGCGGCGTCCAATGAGTTCTGAAGCATTTGGCTGAATATAAGCAGATAATATTGCCCGAAACACTTCAGAATTTATCCTGTTGCTTTTGTCAGCAGTCACATCATCAATAAATACAAGAGAACCAGTTCCATTGGCAGCCATACATGCCCACGCCATGACACTACCACCACCATGCTTCACTAATGAGGTGGTATGCTTAGGATCATGAGCAGTTCCTTTCCTTCTCCATACTTTTCTCTTCCCATCACTCTGGTACAAGTTGATCTTGGTCTCATCTGTCCATAGGATGTTGTTCCAGAACTGTGAAGGCTTTTTTAGATGTCGTTTGGCAAACTCTAATCTGGCCTTCCTGTTTTTGAGGCTCACCAATGGTTTCCATCTTGTGGTGAACCCTCTGTATTCACTCTGGTGAAGTCTTCTCTTGATTGTTGACTTTGACACACATACACCTACCTCCTGGAGAGTGTTCTTGATCTGGCCAACTGTTGTGAAGGGTGTTTTCTTCACCAGGGAAAGAATTCTTCGGTCATCCACCACAGTTGTTTTCCGGGTCTTTTGGTGTTGCTGAGCTCACCAGTGCGTTCCTTCTTAAGAATGTTCCAAACAGTTGTTTTGGCCACGCCTAATGTTTTTGCTATCTCTCTGATGGGTTTGTTTTGTTTTTTCAGCCTAATGATGGCTAGCTTCACTGATAGTGACAGCTCTTTGGATCTCATCTTGAGAGTTGAAAGCAACAGATTCCAAATTCAAATAGCACACTTGAAATGAACTCTGGACCTTTTATTTGCTCATTGTAATTGGGATAATGAGGGAATAACACACACCTGGCCATGGAACAGCTGAGAAGCCAATTGTCCCATTACTTTTGGTCCCTTAACAAGTGGGAGGCACATATGCAAACTGCTGTCATTCCTACACCGTTCACCTGATTTGGATGTAAATACCCTCAAATTAAAGCTGACTGTCTGCAGTTAAAGCACATCTTGATCATTTTCATTTCAAATCCATTGTGGTGGTGTATAGAGCCAAAAATGTTAGAATTGTGTCGATGTCCCAATATTTATGGACCTGACTGTAGTTCAGAGAACTAGTGCAAATCTGTAAGACCATTTGACATATTAACTACCTGCCGACCGCAGATAGCCGAATGACGGCTGCACTGCGGCCGGCCAGTTCTGGGTGGACGTCATATGATGGCCTCCCAGAACGCGCTCTCCTGCGCGCCCCAGGGGGCGCGCACCCGGCGATCTCCGTGATCGCTGTGTCCTACGGACACAGCTGATCACGTGATGTGGTAAAAGGCCAATCACAGCGGCCTTTTACCACGTGATCAGCGGTGTCCAATGACACGCTGATCAGAGGAAAATGCAAGTGCCGGTTCTCGGCTGCACTTTCCTCACGCTGTCAGATCGTGAGGAAAGTACTGCCGAGACCCGGCAGTTGTCAGAGCGGGGATCGGCACCGATCATCAGGGCACTGATGATCAGTGCCCTGATGATCGGTGCCCAGCAGTGCCACCCGCAAGCTTCGCCCACCTGTGCCCAGCAGTGCGCCCACTAGCTCCGGCCACCTGTGCCCAGCAGATCACCCACCTGTGCCCAGCAGTGCACCCACCTGTGCCCAGCAGTGCACCCACCTGTGCCACTCTGCAGTGTCACACACACACCTGTGCCCAGAAGTGCCACCCACCTGTGCCACCCACCAGTGCTGCCAGTCAGTGCCACCAGTCAGTGCCCAGGGGTTGTGCTAGTCAGTGCCGCCAGTCAGTGCCCAGCAGTGATGCCAGTCAGTGTCGTCTATCAGTACCCATCATCAGTGTCACCTATCAGTGCCGCCTATCAGTGCTGCATATTAGTGCCGCCTATCCGTGACACCTCATTAGTGCTGTCTATCAGTGCCGCCTATCCGTGCCACCTCATTAGTACTGCCTATCAGTGCCCTTTAGTGCTGCCTATCAGTGCCCATCAGTGCCGCCTATCAGTGCCCATCAGTGCCGCCTCATCAACGCACATCAGTGAAGGAGAAAAATTACCTGTTTGAAAAATTTTATAATAGAGACAAAGAAACTTTTTTTTTTTCAAATTTTTTGCAATTTTTGTATTTATAGCGCAAAAAGTAAAGCGCTCAGTGGCGATTAAATACCACCAAAAGAAAGCTCTATTTGTGAGAAAAAAATGATCAAAATTTCATATGGGTACAATGTTGCATTACCGCGCAATTGTCAATCAAAGTGCGGCAGCGCTGAAAGCTGAAAATTGGCCTGGTAAATAAGGGGGTATAAGTGCCTGGTAGGCAAGTGGTTAATAAAGAATAAAAGGCAGCAACATCTAAGAAAGTGGGGAAAGAAAACAGACTAGCAACTCTTGAACAGGACTATGCAAGACCAAGGAGACAATCAAAACTGCCAAAAATGCATTTAGCCCTTAATACAGAAATGAAACAATATGCAGAATTTATCTAGGATTCAAGCACCTTTTTATTCTGACTTCACTGACCGACATGATCATTTTTGAGATAGGTGTCCAAGCTGCATATAAAAAAGGACCAACCTTTTTTTCTTTTAAATAGTATCCAATGGCAAAATTTCTGTCTCCACTTTCTCGCTCAGACTGGAACCTAAAAAAGGTTTTACAGACATAAAAAGCATTACACAGTGCACAATAATATTAAACAACAAAAAGGTTAGAAATGTAAAGACCTAAAACAGTTCCATTCATACACTGCTATTGTATACAAACAGAGGCTCATATCTATATAAAACCAGATGTGACAAGGATTTTGCTGTTTACAAGCCGTTACTGGCTTGTAAAACATCTGATCAAACCCAGCTAAGTTTAGTCAGATGCTTTTGAGGACAGGGGGAGATCTAGGTCTAATAGACTACCTGTCACTGGCCATGATATCACAAGGGATACTGCTCATCCCTTGTGATAGCAATAAATTTGATTATAAAAAAATAAATAAAAAATAATTTAGGCGCAAATGTGAAAGCATATGTAGGTCTCGCACGTATATGTAACGGTGAGAGCAATAATTCTCGCACCAGACCTCCTGTTTAACTCTACACTGGAAACCTGTAAAAAAGGTATTCAAAGCATAGTCTATGAAGATTTTTAAGTACAGTAGTTTTTTGCCATTCCACGAGCGTGCACAATTTTAAGGCATTACATATTCAATATCTATTGATTATTATATTGTGTTCAAATTTATTAGTGTAAATTTTTTCCAAAAAATGTGCCATTGAAAAACAGCTGCACAAATATCATGTGACATGAAAAATTGTAGTAACCACCAATTTTTCTCCAGGGCCTTTTCTTTCAGAAAATATATAATGTTTGCATTTTTTTTAACTAGATAATTATGTAGGAAGCCCATATATTTATATGTATGTGAGATGTGTTAGAAATGGTTTGGGCAGCAAGTGGGTAATTGTAAAGCTTGAAAAGGTCCCAAATCTCTCTACTAGACCAATCAGGCTCTCAAAGGAAGCATACGTATCCCCCAGAAACAATAAGGCATCATATGCGTATACAGCTATTTTTTCTCTTCTAAGTTCCCTCTTTTGAATCCCACTATAGATGGATCTAAGCATATACCAGTTGTCAATGGCTCAATAGCCACGCCAAATAATAGAGAAGAACATGGACATCCTCGCCTAGCACTTCTATACAGGGAAAAGGGCTCTGACAGTGTTATTAGCTCTTATTCAAGCCATCTATGCCTGGTATAACAGCTTCACCCAAGCAATAAAAATCAGCACCTAAATTAAATCTTTACTAAATATTTTCCGCAAATGAGGCCATTCAACACTATTAAAAGCCTTACCGGCATCTAATCAAAAAAGAGCTCTATTTCTTGAACTAGACACTGGGAGTTGAAGATTGAAGTATAGCCGTCTAAGGTTAACAGCTGTGGACCTAGTTGGGATGAACCCTGATTGATCTGGGTGCATTAGTCATCACTCATGTTAATCTATTTGAAAGACTATGGCCATAATTTTTATATCTGTTGTTAACAGAGATATGGGCCTTCAGGAGTCTAAAAGTGCTGTGTCCTTCCCCGGCTTAGGAACACAAATATAACTGCTTCATAAATGGACTGCGGGTAAAAGATCTATCTTTTGCAGAGGAGAGGGTTGACAGGCGATTTGGGAGTACTCGGGTAAACGCCAATAGCTTTTGTATCTGTGTTAACACGCACATGGGCATATGGCACTTTGCCCAAATGGGAGTTTACCCAAGCCTGGATACGTACAGCCACTCACTTGTATCGGTGGCTGTACATGGCACATGTGGTTTCCTGGATGTCAGAAAGCACCAGGGATTTTATGCCTCAGCACAGTGCTTGTAGGCTTCCATATGCATGAGGCCTTAACGGTTTTGCATTTGCCGATTTGTCTTTACACTATTGATAAAGAATCTTTGTAGCTACATGTATCTGGAGAGAAACCTCAGCCTGCATTGTGGTTGCGCTTATGGCTCATTCCTGTTCTGTAAGCAAGGTACATCTTTTAGCACACCTGAAAAGTAATCATGGTAAGCAAATGATAATTTGATAAATTATAATTCAAATGTATTTTTTCAGGTTTTTTTTTTTTTTTTTAAATATAAGGAATTCGGCAGTACAGGATACATTCACTTGAGTGACACAGCTAGGTATACATAAAACAACCTTCAGTACAAAATATACATGCATAAGGAGAGTTTTTCAGTTTTTTTTGTCCTGACCAAAATACACAATATGAATAAAACCACTATACATTCACTTTTACAATAAATGTAAATAAATGTAAAATAATGTAAACTAAACTTTATCCACATTTGAAACATTTTTTATGTACTTACGTGGCATTACTAAACCCAACATATTCATTGCCAGCCATTTTATTGAGAAACTGCATGACCTACAAAAAGCAGAAGACAGATGTTAAGTAAATACTGGCAAGCCTAGTATTTCATCCTTTGCTCTGTTTCCTACAGCATCCCAATATTCCTTAGTGTGATAGTCACAGACCTACCAAAAAAGAGGCCAGCATCAAACAGGAGGTAAATAAAACATCTTTGCAGAAGGAATAATAAAAAAGACAAAGCAAATCACACTAATGCAGGATTAGGCAACAATCAGATTTACAACCAACCCTCAGATTGGGTGAGAGAGTACCGTAACCTTGATTTTGGGGTTCAAAGAGGATACTTTTATTTATTAAAGCTTTTACGAATGTTATTATGGACAGACGAAATCCCTTCAGGAAAATGTGCAAACCAACCTTTAAAAGTAATGCAACTCTCTAGAGAGGTACGATTGGTCAGTGCTACTACATACTCTTGCATATACTACAATCACAATTTGGAATAAGCTAGTCTCTGACCAGGCCTGTGACACACACATTTGGTTTGAGCACAATTTGTCAAGGCATCCATAGCTACGTTTCTAGTTACATTTTCCAATATTTTTGCATTTCTTATTTTTATCTGTCATTGCTTAATTGTTATATACAGTGTATTTTACCTACAAATGTTTGTGTGATTCTCTTTGCATATCTCAAAAAACCCAAAATAAACTATCATGTAACTGGGATAAAACACAAAGCCTGCAAACATTTTTTTAAAAAGATACCTTATGTGTTTATATTGTAGGGGAATAAATAATTAGTCTGTAAGATACTATATAGTTTGTTTTCACATCCCTAACTACCTACAGATTTTATTATTGGATGTATGTCACTGTTAATGAACATTTAAAATTTTTCCATTTAGGCAATTATTGGGATACATGTTAATTTATTTTATTCTAAAAATGGCCTTTATTGATTCAATTAAATATTCTTTAATCAAATTGTATTAGATTACTCATCAAGCAGGCTTGCTAATTTGTTTGATGATACAGGGAATAGCTAGATTTCATTATAACTGCATATATTTGGGATACATTGATTAAATAGGCTAAAAAAAAAAAAAAAAAAAAAAAAAAATATGGGTGCTGCAGTATTTGCCGTGGAAATGGTCATACGTGAGTTCATGTACGTAATACATGAGTTCTAGCTAAAAACAACTGTAAACATGTAGTGTGAGTGTGTGAGATACATGATTATTATTAGTACACCTATCCATTATTGTGTATGTAAACCCCATCAATAAACTTATCTTTACAAATAAATAAAGCTAAAAATATTGTTGTGCATAACGCACTCCTCGGATACTGAAACACACTCAGTGAGGCTTTGGGCTAATACGTCACTTCTGGCATTTGGAACACACACCCATGTCCTGAGTGTAACAAGTGGGGCGGCATTCCTATTGGGTTTTATTTTGAGGTGCAAACCGGGGTGCCAATCAGAGCACATCCAAATGTGAATTTATAACATTTTCTTTATATGATTTACATCTTTTTAATTAATAGTTTTATGCTAGTTGAGATCTTCCCATCTTTACTATATGCTGGTGTGGAGCTGAAAATTTAAACCAGAGGGGATCCATTTGATGTTATGTATAACAAGCAAATGTAGACCTGCTTATTAAAGTGTCATTAAACCCACAGCATTAAAAACTGTCAGTACGTGTTATATATATTCACTCAGTCACTATGGGATTTGTTTCCTGCATTTTGCAATTAAACCTAGTTGATACGCTGTTCATTGTCCCTCCCAGTGTCCTGCTACAGCCTGGAGAATGTGTACCCCAGCTTTTGCCACATCTGCTGAGCATGCTTCAGTTTCTAAGCAGTTCATTTCCTCCTTTTTCCTATCTGTGCAGGCCACACATGTGAGTGTTAACACAGTGGCAAATGACAGTCCACTCCCTTCCTCCTCCTCTATACCCACTAAAAAGCTAAAAACTATAGGGGCAGTATATTCCATGTTGATTGATGGAGGTTTCACCTCCCTGTAATTCAAGCACATACAAAACTACAGCCATACACTGGAGGGGCATACAACAGACTGTGATTGGCAGAACTATAAGAAACTCTACTGAATCTACAAACGTGCTGTGTATCGTTAGCCCACAAGACTTAGGCAAGCCATAGATGATGTGACTTTCCCCCATTGCTCGATTCCCCATCAACAGTCAGACTTCCCTGTTGGCAGAACACAATGATTGCGGCTGGTGGGTAAAGCCACCAGTATTAATTGCATGCAACAAATCCACCGCCCATAGATTGATCAAATCTTGGCTGGTTCCTGCTGAACCAGGCAAGATTTGATCCATCTATGGCCAGATTAAGAATCAGAGTGCATTTTTGGCAGAGCAACAGATTGTTCTTCTATTTAAAAAAATCTGTTGATCTGCTTTCCGTTACCTTCAAAGTCTTTACTGGGGTAACACATGGGTATATATGCACATATTGCAGAGATGTACTGCATATGTGTTTATTATGCCTTGGCATTTGCTTTAAGAAAAAACTGCTGGAGGTGGTGTAATCTAACAGAAGAACTAAAGGCCTTATAGCACATAGCACTTACCTTAGAAGACATTTGTACTGAAAGATGTGTAGGTTTCCATTGTTCACACCTACTTCTGAAAATGCTTGTTACCTATCGGACTTCAATTCTTGAAGTCAATGCCACAGAAAGTACTGAAGCCAGAGATATCCAGGTAACTAACATTTTCAGAAGAAAATTAGTGGTAAAAAAAAGGGACAGTCCTGACAGTTTTACATAGAAAAATGTAGGAACCCGCACTGATTCCCACAATGTAATACCCAGGGTCTGAGTTACTTGTCAGCAGGCCCAGGCACAGGCACCTGGGAAGCATTCATAGAATTAGGTAAATCACTGCGATGTGAAGTCTCTATATTCAGTTCCACTTTGCGAGGACAGCACTGGGAGGGAAAAAGTTGAAATATGGATTATGTCCTGACTTCTTTTTTTCAGTCTATTCTTCCTAATATATTATACTCCTCATGTGTACTTTAACCAGCAGAGAAATACACAGCAGCATGTTTCCCTAGTAAAACACAGACCGCACACACAGTAAAACAGCACACAGTTAACCCTTTGATCGCCCCAGATGTTAACCCCTTCCTGCCCAGTGTCATTAGTACAGTGTCAGTGCTTTTTATTAGCACTGATCACTGTATTAGTGTCATTGGGATGCCAGTGGCAGTCAGTTCCCACCGCAGTCCTGCAATAAGACACTGATTGCCGCCATTTCTAGTATAAAAAAAAAAATTGCAGTATATATACACCGCCATTTGTAGACGCTATAAAACGTTCACGTTAAACCAAATAATATACACGTATTGGGATTTTTTTCTTTTTTTTTAGCAAACACATGTAGCATAATACATTTTGGCCTAAATTTATGATGAAATTTGATTTTAAATTGTTTTACTGGATATCTTTTATAAAGTCAAAAATATTGTTTTTAAAAAAAATTGTCGGTCTTTTTGTTTATAGCGCAAAAAATAAAAACCGCACAGGTGATCAAATACCACCGGAAGAAAGCTCTATTTGTGGGAAAAAAAGAACATAAATTTCAATTGGCTTGGTCAGGAAGGGGGGTAAATCCTCTGGAGGGCAAATGGTTAAGGATACATTTCATCTATAAAAGGTTTTAATTATGTACATTTAAATAAAAAACAAATAGTTTTTGTTTGTTTCTATGCAATAAGAAGTTCAATCTTGCAAATGTGAAATGCAAAATCTTTAATACTTACATAGTCAAATTTTTCTGCATTGCTTGATCCTTGCTGCAGGGAAAAATACAAAGTTATAGGTTTCACTGATTAGTTGTATATGTACTCCATTGTGCCAAGTCTTTACAAATGTGATGGTCTCAACATAATGTATATCAAAAAACAGTCAGTGACCACCATCAGGACTGAAATGCTGTGCAGTTGGATGAAACTATGTTCTCCGTGTGCTACACTCTACACTCCATAAAGGGACATGTGTTAACGTCACCATGCGTTCCCCAATCAATCATTTGCCAGGATGTTCTCCGACATTATTTTATGATATATTTACCAACTCTGGATTTCTCCATCCCAGATTCTATGCGGATTCATTAACAAATGGCAGTACTCAAACTAGCAAATGTTACAAATTTGCCCATAACACTTATTTTGCATAAATTCGCAGTTACGGCACATTCCCCTTCTGCAACATTTGCTGCCCAGACTTGCAGTACCAGTTAATTGGTGGAATCCAGACAGGAAAATAAAAGTGGATTCAAATGCATCTATGGACCCCACAGTACATTGCCAGACAGAAATACTTCCTTCACTGCTGCAATTGTAGTATATCATAAACACATTTTTTCTTACTCCGATAGCTTGCCTTATCAGTTTCTCCCCTGGACAGCAGCACTCCTTTGTAGTTCATGAATTTTTTAAAAACCATACACATCAAACTCTGCAAACCTCCTTTCTCACTGTTAAACCTGTTCTTGTCCAATACCTGGCATTTGTTCCATTTACACATTTTGTATAGATGGGCAGAAGTATATTATACCCTATGAAAATACCGCAGTTGTAAAGGTTTATTTCTCACAGATCCAACTGTGCCAAAGCAGAAATAGAAAATTCTTTCCAGTGCATCTGGAGATCAGTTGAGTATCATATGGCTGGAGTAAAACTACATCACATAGGCCGAACAGAGTCCTAACCTCATGTCTAAGCTGCAGACACTCAAAATGCCAGGAATTTTGAGCTCCTGATTCAGTGTAAAAGTGGATTTCAAGGTTTATTGTGAATATAACTGATAAAATGTATTCCAGCCACCTCTTAGCCCACTGGAAGCCAGGTTGAATCTTTGACACCAGATTTTTAACTACATAGAATACTATGAGAACCAGGCAACTTGCATTTGTAGAATAAGCTAGAATGGGTCAGCAATGGCAGTAGTTAGATCTCCCATATGACAGTTTTTCTTTAAATTCTGCACATTAAACAGTCTATTCCTTGGTTCATCTGAATAAATGTGTCATATTACCAAATAAAACCCTTCCTGTAGCCTTGGTGACCAAAATGCAGCACCAATTGTGGTTTAGATGCATTTAAACATTGTAACAAAGCAAGATAAACCTTTTGTTCAGAAATAAGGGGAGAATGAAAGATCTAAAAAAACACAACCCACTACAATTACAATAACTTTGTACAGCCACAATTTGAAACTGCAGGATGTACAGCTAATTGGCTGCTGAAAATATGCATGCTCTGTAATATCAGGATTGCAGTCAAGTAGCCAGAGCTCAACTGGATAGAAAGGTAAATGCACCAGTACGATTTCCAACAATTTTTTTGGGGGGGGAAATAGAAAAAAAAATCATTGGTAAGTCTACAAAATAATGTATGCATTTACTTTTTACAAGCCTGTCACATAGCTGAATGAAAATTCTTAATAACATAAAACATACCTTTATTAAAGAAGTGATGACAATGGCCCCAGCATTCACCATTGGATTATGTGGTTTCTCTGAAAAATGATGGTAACAATACATCAAAGGCTATCCTAGCTATTAATTCCCTACAAAAGCTAGGCTAGTCATAAACATTCATTTTTATATTCTGTACAAGTAAGCAATGGACATGCTCTACAATTACTAATCAGTAACTGCAAGCAACTGACTGCAAGTCTTCTTCCTGGCAAGAATCAATTTCTTAATCTATATTCCTATTCTGTATTTTCAGCAACACTATCACGGGTTCCTTTAGTTTTTGTTGTGGCTGGAAACAGAATTTGACATAAAACCTCATGTTATTTCAAAATGCCCTTTATGATAAGATTATCAAAACAAGGTTTAAATTAGATGTACATCCAAAATTCACAAATTAAGCAGGGCATTCTGCATGTATAAAATCAAAGTACCGCCTGTGGATTTATCTAGTAGTCACCTAACTGCCTCCTGTCAGGACTTTAGAAGGGCAGGAAGCTGCAACAGTGATATCATTGCTTCCGCATGGTCTCCAATTATTATCAACCCTAGCTGCATATCACACTGCTTTAGGCGAGACTAGAGTGAAGTTTAATTTTTTACAGTTTGGATTGTCATAGAATAGCTCTGTAAAGTCTGTAGTTCACACAGGCATACTACAGTGTATGCCCATGCAAGGGCAGCATCTGCTCACAGGGGAAGGCACAGGCATTCCATGCAGGTTGTCCCATTCAATTTGAATGCAGCAGCTGCATGGACAAAGCTGCTGCTCCCAATTTGACAACCATGCAAGTGCGCAGCCCCAAAACGCACACTGTCTGCATTCAAGGCTGCACACCTGAATCGGGAGCAAAGGCTGGGCCAGTGCAGCCACCGTATCCCAAAATTAAATGTATGGGACTACCTGCATGGGAATGCACAGAACACCTGTGCATTCCCATGTGGGGAAACACAGCCATCACACAGACATGTACTACAGTATGCCTGTAGAAAACAAGGCCTTAACCAGCGTGGTGCTTGACACAGAAGTTGCTCTATATCAGCTCTTATAGGCATACATATTGGCCAAGATCTCATAATTCCCTGGTGCCATACCTGGGGCTCAGAGGCCGTATACAGCCCTTTGGCACTCATTCTGTGGCCTTCATGAGTTCTTGTAGACAGTAGTGTTTTTGTTACCTAGATGCTTACTCCAGGCCAGTGAAGCAAAATAGTTTTTAGACTAGCATCTAGTGTCTTGGTTGGTTTATTTCTTTCACAGTATATTACTTTTGTGTGCTGTCCATCTCTTTTCGTAATATGCTTTCTTTTAACTTGGATCTTTTATTTTAGATCTTGCAGAGAGAGAAATATCAAATATGGCACAAGTATTTTTTAAAGGGGCTGTACTGAGGACAAATGTAAAAAGGATTTGTTAAGGGGCTGTAATAGCAGTGATCTCCAGCCAGCTCATGTAATTTTTCTTCCAAAACATGTCTTCATTCGAATTCTGTAGCTTCATGTATTTCCCCAGTCTCTAACAATTGTTAGGGTCCTTTCACACAGGCGTTCCGTTTTCTTCATCAGTCCAGTGATGTTTTTTTCAAAGAAAAAAACGGATCAGTTTTCATCAGTTTACATCCATTTTTCGTCCCTTACGTTTTTTGTTTTTTTTTAAAGGAAGAAAAAAATAGGGTTTTCGTCCGTTCAAAAGGACAGATGTTAACGGATAATGACATTATGGATGTAAACGGATGATCATCAGCTTACATCCGCTAGTCCATAGAAATACATGGGTGTCCGTTTTTCATCAGTAAACAGACAGATGAAAAAAAACGGACATGCGGAAAGAGGCCTTACACAGGTTCAGTCTGACCACTTCCTGTCTGCAGTCTTTGACTACCTCTTATAGCATTGGTGTGCAACCTGCAGCCCAACACAAAATCGTAAACTTAAAAATGTTGATTTTCTTTTTTTTTTTTTTTTTTTAGACTTATCGAACACATGCGGCGGAAGAAAAATTTGACAAGATCTCTTTAGTGGGCTTTTAGAAGTTTTATCTTCCCAAAGAAAAACATCCCACTCCTCACAATCACACCTTATAAATAATCGGACTAGTTTTATGTTGCCCTGTTTTACGATTATAATAAAAACACTCAGACAGGTAATATCTATATCAGTGCTTGTTAATTTATGCTTAACAACTTTTTTCTGCTTATCAGCTATCCTTATTATTACTGTATTATGTGTGTGGCCCAAGACCATTCCTCTTCTTCCAAGGTTACCTACAAAAGTCAAAAGGACAACTGGGTTACAGCATTACATTTACGAAATGTTATGTGCGGCTTTTTGGCGATATCATAGGCTGCACTTGAGGCCTCCTTCACGCCACTGAGCTGAAAAGAACAGTAACATGGTTCTAACCAATATGACAAATAATGTGTTTTTATCTTTGTAAGATAACATTTTCTCTTCTACTCAAGCTTAAAGACACGAATATGATACAATCTGGCATGCCAAGAGCTACATAGGCAGAAAAGTTTCATGAATTGTTGAATTGACATGTTCAAGTGACATGTAAACACTAAGAGGAAATGTAACCACAAAATGGGGTCAAGTGCTTATCGGTTTTGTGATACTCTTAAGGATCAGCTTCCTTCCAGCAGCACATGAGTATACATATGGATTCATTTTAAAAGGTTATGTAAAAACACACGGGTCATCAACATCGTGGTATCCACATGAGAGCAAGGTCTGCTAATACTTTGATGCCATGTAGATCATAGAGTGGTTTAAAAACAAAACTTCTTAAGGGTTTAGTACTGCATGTCAGCCATAGTAAAAATGTATATACTTTAATAAAATATGTTATATAAAACCACTAACATTTATTACACATGATTTGATAAAACATTGTAAATATTGTCTGTATCTGTATGGAGAGTTATTCAACTCTCCTCTGTGCCTCCTAAGTCCCCACCAAAATAAACTTGTATTCTATTGTTATGTAAAACATCTTGGACAGAAACTTCATATTACAGTTCAAAATTCTAATAGCCTCAGGATTCCTACGACTCCAGTTATAGTAATCATTGTGATCCTGAATGTTCTCATGAGCACAGGAGAGAAATTATGCATATGAAAAAGAAAATTGTTTTGGGAAATATATGGAGGTTCCAGCTTCTAAAATTGCTAGTTACCGGTTTGCCTCTGGCTTCAACACTTTACTAATCACTTATCTGAAACATGCAGGTCTGAAGCAAGACCACCTTCTCAGCATACCAGGAAACTGTACGGTCAGCAAGAGTGGTCAGGAATGGCAGGCCACATGCTTTCCAGGTATACGTTTGCTATAAAAGTGTATTCTGTCAGGGGTAAAGTGCAACTATTCTCTCCAAAATACAGTAACCCACAGCAAAGCAAAGAGATTTTACCTTTCATCAGTTTACTAGATTGAGGACAATGAATCAGGATTGCTAATTGGCTGTAAAGTGTAAAAAAACGACTACTTTATGGTGATGTATATCATACAATTACATCAACACAAAGACAATGCAGTAAGAAAATGAAGGAAGCAGACAGGCAATATACTTCCAGATCACATCAAACAGGGTAACATCCAACTTGACCACTGAAACAACATCACTGCTTACCATCTTCATCCAGAAATAGCTTGTTAAATCGTAATCCGCTGGGTTCTTTACCAACGTATCGGTGAACGTATTCCGTACTAAGGTCATTCACTGCAATGGCATATTTCAGAGGCTTCACACAAGACTGTAGGCAGAATGGTACTTTGGTATCACCCACTGAATGCCTATTAAAAATAGACATTTTAAAAGTCCATATTTTATACAACTTCAGTTCATAAACCCAATAAACTTCTGGCAAATGTCTATAAAAGAAAAGACAACTAGAACATGACTTATTGGCCAACACAAAAATTCTGTATAATCCAGTTAACTCCTAGAAATGGAAAATGTTAAGCTGACCCCACATATAATAATATGTACAATCAACAACTGTAGTGTAAGGGTCTACCTGACTGGATATAAACAGAACAGGTTGTCTAGACAGGCCTTCTTACTACATAGTAAAGTAGACTGTAGATGGATGGAAACGTGGCAGATTCAGAAGGGGCCAGTTGAATTTTAATCAGTGTGTGGCCATCCCTGTTCAACAGAAGCTGACTGTTGGAAAGAACAACTTTTGATCGATAAGAACAGACACTAATCAATGTATTCTGACAGCACTGGGTCCTCCTGTCAGAATACAATGTCCCAGCAGAGGACATTCCTCCATCCACCTTTTGTGTTGTGTGGATGGAGAAATGTATTCTCTTTTTGTTTTGTCTGAAAAAAAAAAAAAAAAAAAAACACCACCACACAGGAAAAATAAAGAATAAAAACAAAACAAAAAAAGGAGGGAAAAAAAACCTATCCATCTAAGGCCAGCTTAACACAGGTAACAGACACAAACAACAGAAATAAAAATTGTCTTTAGTAGAGTAGGGGAAGGCTAGAATTCCCATGAGGTTTTCTTCTGTCTGTCTCTATTGCAGATTTTCCCTCTAGTGATACAACTGTCAGGGGGACAAGAAGTGAGGGAAAACCTTTCAAATAGAGCAATCGATAGCCATAAAACCCCAACAGGAGTTCTAGTCCTTCCCCATTCTATCCAAAAATAGAAAAAACAGTAGAATGCTTTTTCTGCCAGTTTCAAGGCTATGGGTATAATCAGCAAATCAACAAAAGATATAGCGGTATTGCAGTAGCAATAATTTAATGCTATGATACAACCTGTATGAATGTATCCTTTCATTAACAATTAGCTTATCTGCAACACAAATCAACATGCTGAAAATGAGGCATCTACCTATCTGTGGTGAAGTCAGGAACGGCTACCACTCCTGCTCCATCACTGCTGCTGGTCTCATTCCAGCATCCTGGTTTTGGCTTTGATGTTACCTCCTTGTCTGTCTGTCTACCAGCAAGGTGATTGATGTGGCCAGTCTCTGGGTGGAGACCAAACCGGATTTAAGCCACCCAAGCCTGCAGTCTCATGCTTGTGATAGTGTAATACATGCTTAAGCTCCCTGTCATCTTTCCTGCCATTTAGATTCCCTGTTTATGACTTTGGATTAGATATACACTATTCCCTGAACTCTGCCTTCCTTTTACCTGGACTGTCACTGAACCACTCTGTCTGTCTGCCAACCACAAGTACCTATTTGCTGTGCACAGTTCGCGCTTGCCCCAGCATGGTAGCCAGGCATTATAGCATTGTGTATAAGTTCTGGGGGGAAACCGAGTACTGGCAGGGCTGCTTGCTTTATGGGAAAGGGGGCTGCTGTAAGTGAGGAACACAGATGCCAGCTAAAGTGCCTGACCACCTACGCTGGGGTAAGAGTGACAGGTTAATGGCTATTGCAGAACACGCAGGGTCGAGGAGGAGCCTAATCATGGCGGCAGGGGAGAGGGCTCTCCGCAGGACGGCCACCTTCCCCTCAAATGTTCCCCGTGCAATGCTGCTGAGGTGCCCAGTTAAGACCTACTTGTGAGAGGGGGATCCCGGTGAGAAGTGGAGAGGACGGAGCTGCAGGAGATCACGGTAACGGGACGGCTCGAACCTCCCGCTCGAGGCTGCTGGGAGTGCAGGTGACGTGAGGCGGCCATGTGATCTCCCGAAAGGGAGTACTGGGAGACAGAGAAGCCGGCCGGCTTCCCGAGTCAGGGGGAGATGCCGGCTCTCTCACTGACAGGACACGTGGACCCGGCTCAGCGAGAGAAGAAGGGGAAAGAGCTGGCAAGCTTCCTATGGAATCGGGGAGACGCCAGCCCAATAGAAAAGCTTTCCTGCCCGCCGGTTACCCGTAAAGGAAGCGGACAGAGGAGGAAGAAAGTGACCCGGAGAAACCCCCCCCAAAAAGAGGAACAAAGTCAGAACAGAAAATATAGATTCTAAAGGACAGCCTCCCTGGAAAACCAGCTGGATGGAGGGTGAGTGAGAGTGGCTGGACTGTATATTAAACCTGTTTATGGACTGTACTTTGATGCAGCAGGAGAAGAATATATATAGAAAAAGGGGGGATTTCCAAGGAGGTAGAAGAAATTAGAACCTCTCTAAAGGACTCATTACAGCATATACCCTAAAGTCTTAAAGAAGAGGGACTGGATATATAGAAATTATGAAGAGTAAAAATAGTAAAGGGAGTGGTCCCAAGCACTCCCAATCTGGAACAATTAGAAAATTTACGTCTCAGGGTAATGTGACCCCAGAAAGAACTCAGGGGGCATGTGAAAAAAGTATAATGGAAAACAGTATGGATAAGAGCGTCAGGTCTCCTGTGGAAATGGACAATAGCCAACAAATAACAGGGGGAATAGAGTTAAGAGAAAATGAAGGAGAACTACAAATCCCAAATAAAAAGGAGATGGCAGAAATGTTTAGAAATTTGGAAAAATCAATTAAACAGGAGATGGGAATTATTCGGAAAGACTTGGGACATCTTTTATCCAGAGTAGAAGAAACTGAAGAAAAAATTAAAAAACATGCTCAAGCCATTCCTGAACGGAGAAATCAGATAATGGAGATTAGGCAAGAACAAAAAAAGCTGGGGTATAAGTTGGAGATACAAGGTAACATGTATAGGAAAAATAACCTCAGGATAAAGGGAGTCCCGGAGCTTGCACAAGAAGAAGATTTAATAGAGACAATACATAAAATTCTAAACTCCATCATGGGTAGATCCATAACTGAGACACTCGTATTGGACAATATATATAGGTTAGGAAGGTTCCAACGAGATCGTGTGGAAGAGAGACCGAGAGATGTAGTGGTACAATTTAATAAACATGGAGAGAGAGAAGAGGTATGGAAGAAGATAAAAGGAAGATCTAGTATTAATTATGAAGGAAAAAATTTACAAGTTTTTGCAGACTTGACACCTGAGACATTATGGAGAAAGATCATTGAGACCACGAATAGAACAGATGAAAAAACAAAATATACAATATAGATGGAGTGGCTCTATGTGTCTAATCAGATGGAAGAATGGAGTTACCGCATACTTAAGATTTCCTGAGGAATTGAGAGACTTTTTTGATAAACTTAATATTCAAAGAATAGAGATTCCAGGTTGGGAGGAAGAAGAAGGAGGGATATATGCTGAGGGAAAAGAGGAGTGGCAGCAAGTTAGAAGAAGGAATAGAGAATGGATAGATAGGGGAACATTGGGAGAAACGGAGGGAAGGTGAACCGTACAAGGTTAGAGTTCTACCTCAGGGTCAAGAATCAAACAGGTATGGGGGGAAGGTTTTAAATGTACTCTGCATAGGGAGGAGATGTACGCAAGAAATATGGAGGATATACGGTTTATAACATATAACGTAAAGGGGTTGAATTGTCCTGGGAAGAGATTTAAGCTATTTAAAGAATTACAACAGAGAAGCTTCGGTAGTTCTTTTGCAGGAGACACATCTTGAGACTAAGTCAAATATTAAATTGAACACCAGAAATTATCCAACATGGTTTTATGCAGACTCCCCAATTAAGAGAGCTAAGGGGGTGGCAATTGGGTTTGCTAAAAATATAAGGTGAGAGGTGGAAGAGAGAGAAACAAATCCTGAGGGGAGATTCTTGTTTTTGAGAGGTAGATTGCAAGAAATGGAATGTACAATAGCAAATATTTATTGCCCAAATAAGAGACCAGAGGTATACCTGAAAGGGATATTAAGAAAATTGATGGACTTTAAAAAGGGAAGACTGATAGTGGCCGGGGATTTGAATTTATGCTTGGATCCACATATGGACACAACCTCTTGTGTGCAGTGAGAGGGAGGTAGGTCTCTGAGAATTTTAAAGAAGGAGATACACGAGTGTCAACTAGTGGATATATGGAGAATAATGCATGGAAAGGAAAGACTATACCTTCTTCTCTAATGCACACAAGATTTACTCGAGATTGGATTATATAATGGTAGACCATCAACTTATTGAGAGGGTGGTTAAAGTAGAAAAAGAGACAATGACTCTCTCAGACCATGCCCCGGTTATAATGAAGGTAAGATGGGGGAAGCAGTTGACAAGGGGGTAGGATGGAGGCTAAATGAGGCTCTTCTACAGGACCAGGAGATTGATCAGAAGATTAGAGAGGAGATGGAAAGATTTTTTTCAGGAGAATGAAACAGGGGATGTGTCAGTGGCCACAGTTTGGGAGTCCCATAAGGCATATATTAGAGGTATATTGATTGCGTTAGGGGCAAAAAAGAAAAGGGAAAGGAGTAAGAAATTGACGGGACTCTTAAAAGAAATATTTGACCTGGAACAGATCCATAAAAATAGAACAACAAGTGAGATAAGACAGAAGGTAATAAAAAAGAAGAAAGAATTGGAGTTATTAATGGAAGAAGAGAGGAGGAGAGTATTTAATAAAGTAGCAGGGGAGAGGTATAGATGGGGAGATCGGCCAGGAAAACATTTAATGAGAGCCCTGAGGAAAAAGAAAAATAGAAATTATATAGAAAAAATAAGAAATCCCAAGGGAGAAATGGCTTACTCTACTAAAGAGATCGTGAAGGTGTTCAAGGAATATTATAGTAAGTTGTATAATATTAACTCTCAGGATTTAGTAAATAAAGGTGAAAATGTGAGTAGAGAAAAAAAGAAGGGTATATTTAAAAAATGCAGGACTACCGAAGCTAGATGAAGATCTATTGAAGTCCCTGGAATTAGAAATCGCGCAGGAGGAAAAAAAATAGCATTAAAAAATACTAAGGCGGGGAAAAGCCCTGGCCCAGACAGTTATAGCATGAGGTACTATAAAAAATATAGCGAAATGTTAATACCTAAATTGAAGGATTATATGAACGCCCTGGATGGAGAAATGGAGATAGTGAGAAAGAAAAGATACAAAAAGAATTCCCTTTTATATGGAGAGATAGAGAGATAAAATATCTAGGGGTTAAACTTACTGCTTCATATACAAAATTGTATAAATTAAACTATATTGCTCTTCTAAATGAGATTAAGGAGGAACTGAAGAAATTGGGAGGGGGAAACCCCTCTTGGTTAGGGCGCATAAATCTGATAATTGTACCTAAAATCTTGTATAAATTTCAGATGATCCCAATTAGACTCCCAGAGGCCTTTTTTAAAGAAATTAAAAAGATAACAAGATTTATATGTAAAAATAAAAAATCTAGAATATCTTATGACCTGATGAGTAGAAGTAAAGAGAGGGGGGGATTGGGAGTGCCAGATTTCAAGAGGTACTATAACGCTGTAGTTCTAACAAGAATTTATGATTGGACACACAATACAGAGGGGAAAAAGTTGGGTTAAGATAGAGAATGATCTGAGTGGAGTTGATCTGAGTAGAAGCATATAGGCACCCACACAATACAGAGGTTTAAAAGATACCACAAGTGTGTATACACTGAATGTTTTAAAGGTTTGGGATAATTTACATAAGTGTATGAAATGGGATTTTAATTCACAATTAATGTCACTAAGGAATATGGAGTATTTTCTACCAGGTATGGAGGGGAGTGTGGGAAAATGGTTTAAAAAGGAGGATATTCAACTAAGGGATATAATGGATGGAGAGAAATTGAAAACATTGAAGGATTTAAAGAAAGATGGAGGGGAACTTTTCATTAAGATTGATGAGTGGAAATATCACCAATTAAAACACTTTGTCGAGGGTCTTCCGAAACCTATGAGAGGGAGAAAGGAGTGGAATTTGTTTGAGAGGTTGTTGGAATCACGGGGAGATGGGAAATGGGGTACGGCAAAAATTTATAAGATTCTCACTTAGTTAGTCACGGAAGTAAAACCAATGTACATAGAAAAATGGAAAAGGATTTGGGAATAGAGATAGATGAGGATAAACAGAGGAAAATATATAGACTTACACACGAAAATGTCAGCATGAGAGAGGTGGAGGTAAATTATAAGTGTTTGGCAAGATGGCACATTACACCGAGTGTTGAACATAAAATGGGTGTGGAGAGAGCACCAGAGTGTTGGCGGGGGTGTGGAAAGATTGGTACGTGGTTTCATATATGGTGGGAGTGCCCAAAGATCCAAAGCTTCTGGGAGACAATGGTCAACTTAATAAGGAAAATCTCAGGGATAAAGATAGGATTAGATCCAGAAGTGTGCTTATTACATAATACAGAGCTACCAGTAAATAAATACAAGGATTTGGGTATATGGTACTATGTGAATGCAGCAAAGGGTTTGATACCTAAATTCTGGCATAGTTCAGAGGTGCCAAGAGAAAAGGACTAGGTAGAGAGTGTGAATCAGATTAGTAGGATGGAGAAATTGTACTATATCCAAGAAGACAAGATGGAGGTATACAATAGGAGATGGGGGAAATGGGAAGATTTTGTACATCAAACGAATATATGTGAAGCAATGGGAAGTGATAAGTGAAGTTACTTGGTTTTTTAGGGAAAGATGTAAGAGAATTGCAGAGTGGGTGGGAGGTGGGATGTGGTAGGGAGGAGGGGTAGAGGGAAGGGATATAAAAAGGGGAAAATAGAAGGAGATAGGATTAAGGATTTTATATGTTATATGACAGTGATGGCGAACCTTTTTGAGCCTGAGTGCCCAAAACTGCAACACAAACCAACTTTTTTATTTCAAAGTGCCAACACTGCAATTAACCACTTGCTTACCTGGAGGCACTGACAGACGGCACTGATCGGCGGCACTGCTGGGCATCATTGATGGGTGGCACTGATGGGCGACACTGCTGGGCAGCACTGACAGGTGGCACTGCTGGGCAGCACTGACAGGTGGCACTGCTGGGCACTGACGGGTGACACTGCTGGGCACTGATGGGCATCATTGATGGGTGGCACTGATGGGCAGCACTGATGGGCGACACTGCTGGGCAGCACTGATGGGCGACACTGCTGGGCAGCACTGACGGGCGACACTGCTGGGCAGCACTGACGGGCGACACTGCTGGGCAGCACTGACGGGCGACACTGCTGGGCAGCACTGACGGGCGACACTGCTGGGCAGCACTGACGGGCGACACTGCTGGGCAGCACTGAGAGGTGGCACTGCTGGGCAGCACTGAGAGGTGGCACTGCTGGGCAGCACTGACAGGCGACACTGCTGGGCACTGATGGGCGACACTGCTGGGCACTGGATGGCACTGCTGGGCATCATTGATGGGTGGCACTGCTGGGCAGCACTGACAGGTGGCACAGCTGGGCAGCACTGACAGGCGGCACTGCTGGGCAGCACTGACGGATGGCACTGCAGGGCATCATTGATGGGTGACACTGACAGGCGGCACTGCTGGGCAGCACTGACGGATGGCACTGCAGGGCATCATTGATGGGTGGCACTGATGGGCGACACTGCTGGGCACTGACAGGCGACACTGCTGGGCACTGATGGATGACACTGCAAGCAGTTAATCTCACCTCTGGCAGCGTCGGTGTGGCTTCCAACCCAGCAGCTCATTCCCATCCACGCTGAACACGTTGCCCCTGGCCCCGGAGCAGTGTGGGAGCCTCTTCCTCTCTTCCACGCCCATCCCCGGCTACATCACCCCTGGTGCCAGAGAGCCGCATTGGAGCCGTTTCCTCTCGTCCACACCCACCCTGGCCCCAGAGACATGTGGGAAATGTAGTTTGATAGGGGTCCAGTGTGGACGAGATCTGGATGGCCAGTCAGTGTGCGCTCATCTTCCTCTTCTTCCTGGCGTGCCCACTGAGATGGCTCTGCGTGCCAGCTCTGGCACGCGTGCCATAGGTTCGCCATCACTGTTATATGAGATTGTTGAAGAAATGCTTTGTTATGTTTTTTTTTCTTTTTCCCTTTTTTATATATATTATATATATATATATATATATATATATATATATGAAAAATTAATAAATATTTGAATAAAAAAAAAAAAAAAAAGTGTGACAGGTTAAAGGATAAGTGCTCAGTAAGCCAGAATGTTCGCTCTCAGGCCCCCTTTTATTTAGTTATTTTTTGTGAAACGTACTCATAATCTGCTGTATGCCGTCCAGCAAGTCAATAATTAGGTTTTTTTTGAAAGGTGAGCGCAGACATGTTCTCCTTAGCCTGGTACATGCATCCTACAACTCCACAGGTCTCCTTTCAACTGACAGATCGGGATGGGAATCAATTACATAGGGCTACAGGACATGTGCAAAGCTAAAGAGGACAGCTCAAAGTCTGTAGACCCTTTTGTCCACTTGCCAGAAGGTATTTCTGCTCTACAAAAATTAGAGAGGACTAGGAGGGAGTGATTTCCTTATACATCCTATTTGCACATTTCTTTGTCATGTAGTCATGTACTTATCCTTTGAATTGCTCAGCAACACTAATTTGCAGGTGGTTTGTTCTTGTGTACACATAAGGTCTCTTCTACTCTGGAATAGGAGCTAGCCTTTACACAACAGAAAGCATTAATAAAAACATGCTGTAAATTTGATAACAGCAATAAAACATAATATACTTTACCTCTGACCATCAACTGTACAAATGGAAACACTCCAGAGATCCGGGCTAAATTTTGCCAGTTGAGGAATGTAATCTGCAACCTGTTGAGGCATTAGTACATATTACATTTACACTTATATTACAGAAGACGTCAGTGTTTTATTGTTCAGGACATTTTTTTTTTTACTTATTTAAAAAAAAAAAAAAAAAAAAGAAAAAGGGACAAAACATTACACATTAGAAATTCCTACACAGCAGTCTTGACTTCAAAGAGTGCTTAAGGTAGTCATACATGGCCCGCTGACAGTGGGAAAGGAGGAATCTCCACTGCTGGCCATTATATTCAGACAGCTGCAGCACCCAAACAGTGGCTACATTTGATAGGATGCAGGTCACTGCTCAGCCAGATCAACTGGGATTTTACTGTATAGGAAGACAGAAATCCAGACGGCTGAAATCCTGAGTTCTCCTAAAAGATCAGCTTCATTAGGCATATAAATTCATAAAAACAATGCTCTCTTAGTGGGGGGGAACCATGGTTGATACATTTCACGCTGTGTTCACACTTACGCAAAACCTGTCCAAGGGCTCCAGCTTTCCACCTGATATACACTGCTCAAAAAATTTAAAGGAACACTTTTTAATCAGAGTATAGCATCAAGTAAATTAAACTCCTGGGATATTGATCTAGTCAGTTAGGTAGCATAAGGGGTTGTTAATTTCATGAACACCAAAGCAGCTGAAACTGATTAACAGGTGCACTAGATGGCCAACAATGAGATGACCCCCTCAAAACAGGAATGGTTTTATAGGTGGAGGCCACTGACTCCCTACTCAGCTTTTCTGACTGTTTTTTTTTACTAGTTTTGCATTTGGCTAGGGTCAGTGTCACTACTGGTAGCATGAGGCGATATCTGGACCCTACAGAGGTTACACAGGCAGCCCAACTCCCCCAGAATGGCGCATCGATACGTGCCATAGCCAGAAGATTTGCGGTTTCTCCCAGCACAGTCTCAAGAGCACCGAGGAGATTCCAGGAGACAGGCAGTTACTCTAGGAGAGCTGGAATGGGCCATAGAAGGTCCTTAACCCATCAGCAGGACTGGTATCTGCTCCTTTGTGCAAAGAGGAACAGGATGAGCACTGCTAGAGCCCTACAAAATTACCTCCAGCAGGCCACTGGTGTGAATGTCTCTGACCAAACAATCAGAAACAGACTTCATGAGGGTGGCCTGAGGGCCCGACGTCCTCTAGTGGACCCTGTGCTCACTGCTCGGCACCATAAAGCTCGATAGTCATTTGCCACTGAACACCAGTGGCGAGAGTATGTAGGCAGTTCCAGGAGGATGAAGGAATTGATACCATTGAATGGCCCCCACGCTCGCCTAACCTAAAGCCAATAGAACACCTCTGGGAGATCATATTTCGGTCCATCCCACGCAGCCAGGTTGCACCTCAGATTGTCCAGGAGCTCAGTGATGACCTGGTTCAGATCTGGGAGGAAATACCCCAGAATACCATCTGTCGTCTCATTAGGAGCATGCCCCGACATTGTCAGGCATGCATACATGCATGTGGGGGCCATACAAACTACTACCATTTTGAGTTGAGCAATGAAATTTCAGTAAAATTGACTAGCCTGCTGCATCACTCTGTAGGTTGAGAATTTTAATTTCCATCAACGATGGGGCATCCTTACATTTCTAACACATTACCCAGTCCATATCAGTATAGATAACCAGCATGATATTTTTCCCCATTGAGATCAGATGTGTTTTCAAAGTGTTCCTTTAATTTTTTTGAGCAGTGTACATGCACAGGAGGTTGCTTGTGTGAACTCAATCACCATTCAAATGGTTCTCATTCACAAAAAATAGCACAGGTACAAAAGTACAATGGGCATATTTAAAAAAAAAAAAAATCACATTTTGTTGCTTTGCAGCCTGAAATGAAGACAGACACAGTTTTTGTTTTATCCAGCTGTATTAACTCAGTAAAACTTATAACATTCAAGTGAAAGATATAAACACCATGTCAGGAAGAAAATTTTAACATTAAAAAACAACCACCGAGTTGGAAAAGGATCACCCTCTTGTGTCAGTATTTTGTTGAACCATCTTTTACTTTAATTACAACCTTTAGTCTTTTGGGATATGTCTCTACTAACTTTGCACATCTAGACTTAGCAATATTTGCCTTCTCTTCTTTGCAGAACTGCTCAAGTTCAGTTAAATTTGATAGTGCAGACCATTTGAGGACTGCAGTCTTCAAGTCATTCCATAGATTTTCAATGGGGTTTATGTCTGGGCTCTGACTAGGCCATGCAAGGACATTTGCCTTTTTCTCCTTCAACCACTGTGTGGTCATTTTTGCTGTGTGCTTTGAGTCATTGTCATGTGGGAAGGTAAACCTTCTTCCCATTGACAGCTTTTGAGGGCAGAAGATTTTCTTTAAAAATCGGACGATATTTTTCCCCATCCATGTTGCGTTCTATCCTGACAAGCACTCCAGTCCTGCTGCAGAGAAACACCCCCATAACAGGATATTACCACCTCCATGCTTTACTGTAGGAATGGTGTTATTTGGATGGTGAGCTGTATTGGACTTCTGCCAGAAATATCGTTTAGTGTTGAGGCCAAATAATTCAATTTCAGTCTCATCTGACCATAACACCTTTTTCTATGTGCCCTCAAATTTTCAAGGTGCGTTTGGCAAAGCTCAGTCGTGACTGCATGTGGCCTTTCTTGTGGAGTGGCTTGTTTTCTTGCAACCCTCCCATACAAGCTACATTTGTGGAGAATTTATGATATTGTTGTCACATGCACACAATGACCACTCTGTCTTAAATTCCTGCAACTGCTTCAGAGATGCCGTAGGCCTCTTGGTAGCCTCTGACCAGTTTCCTCCTGGCTCTTTCATCCAGTTTGGAGCGACATCCTGTGTTGTTCCAAATACCTTCCACTTCTTAATAATGGACTTCATTGTGCATCCAGGCTTTGATAAAGCCTTTGAAGTTTTTTTGGATCCATCTGACTCTTCATGCTGAGCTTATCAAAATGACCACAGCTGATCACAGCTGAAAGTCAAATGGCTTTGTGTGCCATTGAGAAGGTGATTAGCTACACCTGATTGAGTTTACAAGTCATTTTTAGGAGGGGATGATCCTTTTTCCAACTCAGTGATTCTGTTTTTGATTTTTTTGTTTTCTGATATGTTGGTGTTATAATTTTCACTTGGATGTTATAAGTTGCAGTGAGAAAATACAGCTGGATAAAAACAAAAAATGTGTCTTCATTTCAGGTTGCAAAGCAACAAAATGTGATTATTTTAAAGTGGGGTGATTCTTTTCTATACCCACTGTATTTATGGAAATATATTAGCAAACAAAACACAGATCAAACACCTATAAAATAACAAAGTAGCCAGTATGTGTAGAAAATATTAAACTACACAACACATGCATCACCTCCATCTCCTACAATCCATACAATATAATCATGTAGGTGGGGGAGATTAAACAAAATATTTGTGCACTAATCAAAACTACATACAGTATATACAAAAAAACTGCATATAAAAAACATACAAGAAAATCCTAACACATGATACCCTGCATCATACTATGGTAGAATACCTCCTACAGCTTGTAACTCGTAATAACTGGGGACATCCCACTCATGGTTTAAGCCCCCTGGATTTCTTGTTTGTAATTGGAATATCCAGAAGACTACCCTTTTACATAGAAGCATAGAAACACATCCCCCTCCTCTCCTCAGGGCTACAACCTTTTCTGTACCCAGTATCTGTAGGGCTGATGGATCACCTCCATGTTAACATTAAAGTGTCTCACCACATTTAAAGAATGCTTCTTGTCGATTTTTTAAATGTGGTTAAGGAGCCAATCCTGTAGCCTTCTAGTTGTTCTCCCCAAATATTGTACAGAGCATATTTTACATGTGATTAAATAATGTACTGAGTGTTGCAATTAATAAATATTTTCATCTTAAAGAATAACTCCACTTTTGTTGGAAAAAAAAAAAAAAAACACACATTCCCCTCTGGGTGATCTATGTACATTACAGAGATTTTCACAAACTTTGTTGCAGATTCCTACCTTTCATTACTCTATAGAAATAGCTGTTTATATGTGTCCATATGTAGAGTGAATCTGTATGGGAATGATTTCATAGTTATCAATCAACTGCTGCACATGCAGGGCTCTAATGAGGAAAATTGCAGGGTCTTCAACCCCATTTAGATGTATTTTCCCTTTGGGAGTTTCTTAAAAAAAAAAAAAAAAAAAAAAAAAGAAGAAGGATATTGTTGCAGGGGATGCCCAAAATCTGACTTGTATCTTAGTGCAGACTTCTGGGAAAATCCATCAGCCAATCAAACCATCTGTGTACAGAACACTTCCAGGTTGCCATATTGCATTTTACAGAAAATTACAGTGCTGCAGAATGAAAATGAAAGGACATTTTTAAAATAACATTCAATTACGATTTGACTTGTGTTGCCATTGTATACACTATTATTTTGCTTTTTTTTTTTTTTTTCCTACGAAAGTGGAGTTACCCTTTAAATCTCCTGTTGAACACGACTGACACAAACTCATCACTTCTTGGAATACAAGGAAAGCAGAGGCACTTGTCTTCTCCACACTTCTAATTACTTTTAAAGTGCAGCCAAGTGTGTTCCATAGTGACACTTGAAGAAAATTAACTCAGGGAGAGGAAGGTTCCCAAGGATGGGGCTTGTCGAGAAACAGTTACCACCCCTGCAGATAAAATGCTGGTATAAATATCATCTTCATATTGTACAGGAAGGTACCGTTCTACAATGTTCTGAATTTTTCTAAACTCCAAGCTATAAGTTGCGGGGAACACTAATTTTTGTTGTGGATCAAAATCTCGAGTTCTTTCTTGCAACAGATGTCTCCTATCTGCCATTCTAGCTATATGTGTTGCCCTCCTTAAGGACACATCCAAATACCCACGATGACTGAATCAATCACACGTGTACTTACAACATAAGGGGTCAATTCACTAAAGGTTTCACTTTCCAGAAATATAGCTTGAGATAATAAAAGGGTCAATTCATC